GTCATGAATAACTTGCTTAAACATAAAAGTATTAGTTCCGTTACAGTTTGATTTCTTTGTATGTATGGATCACTTGGGTTGTTACTGACATCTGGTGAAAATTTCATGTCATTAGCACCTCTAGTAATATATTTACTGAGAAAAATGTTGACGTGTTCAATACTTATTTTACCCGCTGTATATACATTAAACCAGAAGCAATGAGACATGGAAAGGCATTTTCCTTGCACACTTCGACCRAATGATAAAACTGATAAAACAGTGACCTGTGTTGAGTTCTGCAGTCAGCAGGAGATAATACATCTGGGATGGAATCATCCCCCCTCCTTCCCAAACGTTAGTTTATCTTGTCTTTCAGTACAGGAGGAGCTCCTGTAAATCAGGATGGTGGGATGGCTCCTGGCTAACAGATTGCTATTGTCAGTCTGACCGTATCAGTCCCCGCAGAGTGACACAGGCGGACAAGGACATTACCTACAGAGGACAACTCGTCACTGGGTGGGTGGGGTGTGTGTGTGTGTGTGTACCACCAAGTATATAGCCCACCTGTTTTGGCACGGTGATGGACTACATGATCCAGAGGGAGAGCCAAAGATTTATTAGACGTGTCACAGGAGCGGCAGGGCCAAAACGTCCAGCTCGTGTTATGCATGAGATAGAAAAGACAGCTGTACGTTCAAACTGAAAATTAGAAATAAAAACACAATTTGAACTCATTCAAAAGTGACTCAATGCATTAATACTAATTCAAACAAAAACTGCAGTGTAGTAACTGCTATTTACTGTTTTTGTGTACATGATTATTCAAAGGTTTGCTTGGATTTACACTGTAAAAAAGGATTTCACATGTCTGTTAACTCAACATGTTTTTTAGGTTAATTCAACAAACTAATTGACATCAAATAAACTCTTAATCTAAAACAGCTTAAGAATAAATTATATTGAAATAAGCTTGACTTTAGAGGTCGGTATAGGTGGGGGAGGGATGTGCTCTGTCCATCCCGCCTAAAACTGAAGCCATCTTTTATGTCATCTGGATTTGAGGCAAATAAAAACTTGAATGATTTAAGGATTTATTTCAACTATACAACGGAAAGATGAAATAAATATTGTACAAAAGCTGTGGTGGCCATCTTGATTTGGGTTGACTTCAAATGTGGGATCATTTCCAGGCATACACCCAATGATTACTTTGTAAGTTCCAACCCTCCATCCAGTGGGTCACGAAATATTCAAACAGATACAGCTAACTAACATTTTTAATAACAGCTTGATCAGTTAGCTCAGAGTGTGTACTGGGAATGACTCATAGATTTTAGCTCAGTAACGTTCTCCTTTAACATGGACTAAAGCAGATCCTGGTATCAACAGCCTCGCAGATAATTACAGCGACTCTTACAAACCGCCGATTTTTTAAACTTTTTTTTTATGGATTTCAGCTTTTCCATTAACCGAGAGAGCAGAGGCAATTTCATTTTGTGACTTTTTTTTTTTTGAGAAGGGAGGGTGTTTTCTTTTTGTAGTGTCTAAATGTCAGTGTGTGCCTGACTTTAAACACTCGGCCCAATGAGTTACTCGGAGCTGCTTCGCCTCACGTCTTTTTAAGAGCCTTCCACAGATAAGAGACAATAACTGGCTCTTGGTTGCACACAGGAGCCAAGCTCCACTG